GCCAGTTCACAATCCATCTCACTACCCCACCACTTGCAGTGGGGAAGAGGTTTAAATATACCCTAGATATATCCTTAGGATCTCAGTGAGAATCAGAAGATAAAGATAGGAATTTAACAAATGATCACAGTAATACATTGAAAAACTGCACAACATATTTTGTCAGTTGGTCTAGGTCATACCTCATCCATCTCTTCACACTTCCTTTTCTTTCTTGGCCTGAGCTTTTTAACTGTAACTGGTAAGGTGCTGCCCTGGTGCTTCACCTCCATCTTATTGGGTTGCAGAGGTGTGAACTGGATTTCCATCTCTGGTTTTGGGAAACAACTAGTTTTTCCATTTTCTGTGGACACTTCAGAAGAGTCAAGGACAATTTCTGAATGGTCCTGCAAACATATGGAAATTTTAAGAAAACAAGTTTCAAAATAACTGTGAGTTAAAAAACTATACTACATATCACTCCACAGCAGATTGCAAAGTAAGCATTTCATTTCCCAGCTGTTAGGTTTCAGAACACTTACAACAGAAGTGAAGAAATCTACTTCAAGTACAGCAGAGTTTAACTCTTACTTTCTAAAACTTTTTTGTTAAATTTTAAAAAGTTAACATTTCTGCATTACGATAACAGAACCCACTTTTCCTTGCTGAACTCAGCCTGATACATTGTTTCCAAGTCATTTTCCTCAAGGGCAGTAACAGCTATGCAAAGTTTTCACAGCTAACAGTAGTAGAATTGACATGATCTTTTCATCTTAATTCTACTGCTTCTTAAGAACAGGGCAGTAATAGAAGCTTTTGAGAGAAGAGTATAATCTTTCTGTAGCTTATCTTTAGGGAGCTTTCTCTTTCTCTTCTGCACTAGAGAAGTTAATTGTGTAAGTAACAAGGCCCAACTGGCAAGCTACAAGCTAAGTCAACGTATGAGAGACTTCTACGTCACTGTTATCTGGAGGAAAAGCAGGCATTCATGCAGCACTACTGCCTGCAAGCTGAAGACCTTGTCTTGTACCTGCTTACAGCCAAATCGCAAGAACTGCACAGTGAGGGTGGGATGGAGGGGTCAGTTTGCACAACTCTTCTTCCCCAGCAGCACTCACTGTCCACCATCCAGACACCCTGTTTTTCTTGGCAAAACGAGCAAAAAAGTCAGAGCTGTGGTCTCCCTGGCTCCTGAATCTCTGTGGCAGTAGTTCAGCTGTTGGCTAGCATACAAAAATGAATTCAGCAGCGGTTTGAATGAAACATGGATGACAATAACAGGTTGCTGGAGTTGTTGGTGGTAAGAAATGGCAGCTGGCTGTTACTCCCAAATTGCCTAGCTACTGTTGCTTCTTAGGCTGGCTCACCCTGAAGTATACCTTCCTCCTCTTAAAAGGAAAAAGACCAGAGTTCATGGAAAGCCCAAAGGTAGTCAGTCACCTTCTTCAACCGGGTCTGCTGGTATTCTGAGTGGGAATACAAGCACTGTTGCATTGCCAAGAACGGAGCTGGCTAATAGAAACATTTTTCTTTACAACTGCTACTTCATGAAAGAGTTACCAATCAAAAAGTTACATAATAATGGGTAGTGTCATTAGCTAACAAAGCTACACACAGGAATCCTGCAGTGGAAGAAAAGGAAATCCCATTTGCCCTGCTATTGCTCATCCATTTAAAAGGGTTTATTTTTTTTTTTCAAGTGACTTATCTAATCATCAGTCACTTCATAAGCATCGGTGAGAGATAAGTTTTCAAGAGCACACAGTTGAAGTCAGATATGATTATTCACATGACTATGTTATACAGCTTTTATTTTTACCAAAAGCCACTAAATCAAGTGACCTGGTCACCAAGGGACTTGCAGAATGAAACTTTAGAATTCTTTAAGCAACAGGACACACTTTCTTCCCTATTCTGCATTTAGCAAAATCCGTACACCTGAATTAAATTTGAAAATTTAAGGTTTTATACCAATCTCACTTAATGAAACGGCACTGCTAGGACATCGAGATAATGAATAATTTTCTTTAATTTCATCATATCTTAGTGGAATACTTTGTCCAACTATAGGATTAGTCTTGCTTGGTTTTCCATAAACTGTAAATATTTAAAATGGGTAAAGACTATGCTAGACTATAAATACAGATAAATATGAAATATATTAATATTTATAAATACATAAATTTAAAATATTTTTATTTTTCTGAAGTTACAATATAAAAGCTCAAGTGCAAATGGCTAATGAACACCTGGGCTGAAAGAGAACAAAAGTTTAAGTCAGTAACTTCTATTCACAATACGATCACAAGATGTGGCCTGCTAGGTCTCAGCAACAGTCCATCTAGTTCAATATTTGCCTCCAAGAGGGGCAAAAGGAGATGCTATTCCGGTACAACATGTATGATCCTGGACACCTTGTCATCTGTTCACTCCATACTCTCCCAGCACTCTCAGCTGTTGTTTTAGAAGTGTCAGAGTACACCTCTGCCTAATCCACACAGTATCTAATTACAAATACATTTATGGATTTCTACTGCAAATTTTAATAATAGCTGCTGACAGTACCTGTTTTCACCACCTCTAGAAGATCACTAGCTGCTTCATATAGGATTATGTTATTTTAACTGTTTAAAAATTATCTCCTATTAGTTTCAGCAAGTGCTGCCCAGTTCTTACTGGACTTCAGGAAAGACAGTTCTGCCTTCTGTTTACCCACTGCAACCATGATCTTGTTAAGTCCCAGCCCCATAACCCTCTGGTGGCCTTAATCTCCTAATCAGTGCGCCAGCTTCTTAGCCTCTCCTCTCAAGGCAGGAGACACATACCACCTTAATCACTTTAGTTTTTCTTTATCTCCACTATGTCTTTCCTGGGAATTATCTGACTTCACCCCAGAACTTTACCCCATTTACTTCAACACCACCATAACAGTTTCTCACATGATAGCCCTGCATTCTGCCTTACACTAGCTACTATGAAGAAAGCTAACTCTGTCCCAGCCAAAACCAGGACATCCTGTTAGCAGTCTCTCCTTACTGATATTGTATTAACTTGTATACAAGTATTGTTGCTACTGGCTTGAGGTAAATACTTCAGCACCAACAGTTCACAACAATTCTTCTCTATAACTAATTTTATAGCAAAAGTAACTACTTTTATGGTGCTCTCTTAGCTGCTATTAGAGCTGTATAAAGCAGTAACCCTTCTGAGAGCTATTCTGTCCTCCTTCATAGGTCACAAGAATCATCTATATGTCACTAGCTGAACTGATGAAGTGGCAATAAACTAGCTAGACAGTCTTATTTGGCAGTTGACAGGAAAGAGATGAAGACATACATTTTGGCATTCAGTCCAGTTTTGCAACAAGAGGAGAATCACATCATCTAGCAGCCAGGGGAGGGACTGCTAGGAAATAAATGTTCAGCCCTGTTCATTATTAACTAGCAATGGACCCACATAGCATTAATTCAGTTAAGCAGAACATTAAATACTGTTTATGTAGCACACAAGGGTTCAGTCAGAATCAGGAGTTTCATTACAGTCGCAAGCCTTTTAATTTTTGTTCAGGAAATATGCAAAGTTGATATTTTCTTTGCATAAACTTCAAATATTGTTTTGGTTTGGTTTTAAATGGGATGCAAGATACCATTTTGTTCTTGTGAAACCCCATATGGGCTAGCAGCTCTAATTACAGAACAACCACTACTACCAGACTATAGGTGATATCAGGAAGTTGTTTGAGCCGAAATCCTCTTAACACTGGCATAACCAAACAGAGATGACATTACAAATATTATGTCTTCAAATCACTAGAACCTGGATTAGTTACCTAGTTTTTTCCCCTCAGGTACACAAGTTCTATAATATATAGAAAGGTGGTATTCTAACAACAAAAGTACTTATTTTTCTGAGAGTGAGCGTGAAAGTGGGAGAGAGAATGAAGAAGTATGAAGACCTACAAAAAGCAACTTTTGGGAGATTTCCAATGTTGCTGAAATATATACTGAGAAAACAATAGACAGAAGTTGTTAACAACATATCCTTAGTACATACTTTCTAGAAATATAACAAACATACCTCCTTGTTTATAGACTGTTCTGTCTTATCTTCTCCTTCAGGTAAAGGTACTTCTGCCAAAGACTGAAGACTTGCATGGTTAATGCGTTGTTTCAATTCCTTTATAAAGTCATCTTTCTCAGCCAGCTGTTTTCTTAGTTCTTCTACATCAGTTTCTTTATCCTAATAAACATAGCAAAAATTGCGAAAACTGTACAATTGGCAAGAGAAATTAACATATAAATGAGAGTCATTAGAATTATTTGGTAGCATCAGTTTTAGAATTGCACGCTAAAACAGTCAGCTATTCAACAAAAAGCCACTGATTTAATGTACGAGTGGCCACTACTTAAAGCCAAGTCATATACCAGCCTGGCGAGATGCAATGCAAAATTTTTTATTTAGCTCTACATAAGTGGAGTTAAGAAGTTCATCTCGTATTTCTCTCATTAAATCCTTGGTGCTGTGAAAAAGGCAGCAAATGTAATAATTGTCTCAGATTTCCCATCCAACCTTGCCATGAAAGGATCAAATAGACTTGTTTAGTTGAACTACAAATATTTTGAAACTTCAATTACTGTTACAAATTCAGTTTCAAAAAAAAACAAAGCTTTTTTAAAATTAGCTGCAAATGGTTTCAATATGACAGTGTTTAAGAACAAAAATAGAGCCAAAACGCAAAAAACAAGTATAGCATTTTCCAGAATTAATGGAGAACAACAACAAAAAAGTAATCACACAGGAACAAGAAAGAGAGATTGAGAGAGAGGGAGAAAGAGAAGACCTTTCCCAAATCCTTAAGTGCAGCCTGTTTCAGTTCTGCTATTTCTTTATCTTTTTGTATGCTGCTAGAAGCCAAAGTCTTGAGCTGTACTTCCAAAGCTTCTACTAATTTATCTCTTTCTTCACGCCACTTTTGAAGGTTGCTGTCCTTTTCTACCAGCTGTGCAGCAAGTCTTTCCTAAATGGGGAAAAAAAAGGTTAGACCTGAACACTACTTCTGCACACTATCTGAACTGTTCTGATAGTACTCACTATGCAAAACCAAACTATTTTATGGCCTTAGTAAACTTGAGAGTCTATGTAGATCTTTAAAAAGTTCACATAGAACTAATTTCACTACAAATACACAAAAGCAATCCATGCTTCAATTAGAAAAATCTGTGTCTATTTTTATACACTTTCTGATAAGAATGTTTGGTGAGGACCATCACACCATTTCTCGCTTTGTGATTTTACTACTAACAAGACTCAGGCAAGCAAAGTCACAGACAAAGTAAAAGTAGCCCTAAGACCCTAACATCCTCCTGTACTAACTGGACATCCAGAAAGTCGTTGCTAATTACTTCTAGATGCAAATATAGTTTTCAAGTGTACAGATGTATATAACAATTTCATATATTTAAGAAATTACAACCTTGATGCAGTCCAGTCAACAGGCATGGTATCCACCTTGTTATTAACTATCAGTCACTCTCCTTTTAAAGCAATATGGAAGCAAAACCACTAGCATTTTGACTAAGTATTTTTACTCTGTATCTGGGAAGAAGCTTTTTTTGTCAAATTCTGCTTGTTTTTTTCTCATCATTCTAAAGCCTCATAGGATTTTTTTTTAGAAAAGCTAAGCAACAAATCATGTTTTTCAAATGATATTTTCTTAGCTTCGAAAAGTAGCAATTTATTTAAGTGTAAGTTACTTATTGGTGTTTTACACAGAAGATGAAGTTTGAAGAATTCTTAGTGAGGTTGTGGTGGTGATAGGATAAAAAGTAACAGACGTGTTAACTTCCATAAGGTACTAAGTTTTTTTCATTTTGTGACCATCCTATTCTTCCCTTTCCATTTTGAGAAAATCTCGTCTAGGCTTTGCCATGTGATAAGGTGAAGGGACTTTGATAAAGGCCAGCTACCCACAATCGCCCACACTTAACACTTGACAGGAGATTTGCTCTGTACTACATACTTACACTAGAGGACTCCACTGAGACCTCCAGTCACTTACAATTTCTGATTGTTGCTCTACATGACGTTCCCTGTCCTCTGCCAATTTTCTCATTTCTCTGTTGTGATGGCTTTCAGCTTCTTTTACTTGACTTATGAGTCTCATTTTTTCCTCCAGCCACTTCTTTCTATCAGTTTGATACTTTGCCTCATTTGCCTGTTTTAATGAAACCAGAAATAAAATCATAGGTAGAGATCAAGCAAAAAAAAAAAGCTTCTTAAAATCCAGATTACCATTAAATGGATTAATTTTGAAAAGATAACAGAAATACTAGCACAGTTTTTTACTCCAGCATATTCCCAAGGGCAAGTAATACATTCTCATTTGTTCCTCTCTGTGGAAAAAAATTAGCAATTTTCAGCACTTCCATTCCATGAAGACATGCCAGTCTGAATTAGAATTTCTTTCCTCTAACAAATGTTCTGGATAAATCACAAACACTATAAAATTTACACCAAAAGTAATGGCAAAGAGACCCTTTTAACTTACAAATTCCCAATCTTTTATGTTGCCTTATAGGGCATGTTAGAAAACTTGTTTCTGCTTCAAGACTGAAAGGCAAAGAATGCTGTAAAATTTGAATGGAAGGCAGAGAGAGTGCATACCTAAGAACATCACTTAAATCCACAGCAACATTACCTCCTTTTCTATCACAACCAAACCTCTTGTCAGACATTCTCCCACATAAGATAGAAGGCACCTGAAAAGCTGCTTTCTAATCCAAGAATTAGAGGTAAATACTCAGCCTAACAGGAAGGGCTTACAGGTCACAGAGCAAGCACAAAATCTTGAAAGAATTTAATTCAGTTGCCTAAGCAACTGACAGGAAAGAGGTTCAGAATGGATATCCAGAGTTGGATTGATTAAGACAACTGTAAAAAGGGGCCCAGCCCATGGTGATATAACGCAGTGAAGGGTGCACTCAATGACGGGGCATCAGTGATGCTGTATATTACAAAGACACTGCATCCAGACTTCGCTGTACTGGCGCACTGCAACTTTCAGACGTTTCCTTTACCATTGTAACAACTTGCCATATCATGCCCTAGCTCTTGGAGACAGTGACACAAAAATATTTAGATTCCTAAATGAAAGTTATGGCTTTAAAACAGTATGAATTACATCACCATATTTTACCTTCAGTTCTTTTTGCAGTTTTATTAGTTCTTCATTTTCATTTATGTTTTCCTCTTCATTTTTGCTCCTCTTTTCCTGCCAGTCACTATCGCTCTGGTTATTCAGCTCTCTATATTTCTGCTTCCATGCTTCCAGTTCTAGTCAGCACACAAAATGAGGTTACATAATGTATAGTTTAAAATACATATTTGACCACATTCAGATCCTTCTACTAAAGTTACTTGGATTTATCAGCTGTGACCACAAAGGGACAACAGAAGCCTTCAACTGTTAAAAGTTTGCTTTGTAGTACATAAAATTAACGCCAGCATAACAGTCAACAAATAAAACCAGAGATTATGAACAGCTATCACAATACATCCAAAACAATTTTGCCTCCCTGCTCCATTTCCATTAAGAGATTACCCAAAACTAATCTGTTGATCTCTTCTAATTTAGCTTCAAGCACTTGGTCTTGTTCAGTCTGAGTCTTCTCTTGTTCTTCTAGTGTCATCCGCATATCTTCAATTATTTTTTCCTTTGCACACAGATCTGAAAATTTGAAATTAAAATTACAGATGAGCCCCCTCCTAGGTTCCACCATTTTGTCCCGAAGTGTCTTCATTACAAGTTGTTTCCCCATTCCCCAAAATCAAAATATCTATTAAGAAAGAAATAGAGCATCTCTACTGAACTACCAAAATCCAAAATTCTTAAGTGATTCTCATCAACTTGATTTATGTGAGCATTTCAGTGTTAACATCAGTCAGGTTATGGCTTGTATTATATGAGAAACTAACCATTGTTCAAATGTTAAATGTTTATCAAACATGCAGAAACTGTTATTGTGCTAGTTCATGTTTCAATGTTTGATTTTGTTAAAACAGCCAGCTAAATGGCAAATAAGTACCAACATTTAATAAGTTAACACTTATACAGCAAATCCACACGTTCTCTGAGGCTTGTGTTTCTTATTCTGAGACTGTTTCTTTGCTTTCAAACATACCTGCTAATAATGATTCAGTAAAAATTTCTTCCTGACCGTAACAGTTTAGTATCCAGGTTGAGTTCCTCAGTATTTAAAAATATAACTATACAAGACTCTCCAAATTTGTTAACAAGATGACATCTCACTATGTTGCCATTCTATGCTAAAAGAATGGAACAATAATGGCTTTTTCTGACCTTTACGTGCTTCCTCATACTGTTTGGAGATTTCTTCCAGCTTGTCATTATTAAACTGCTCCTAAATATCACATTGAAAGCAAACTAATGAAAGAGGGTTGAAAGAAACAAATTTACGCATGCTAGAAATGAGTAGCTTTTAATTCTGAGCTTTAACAAGTAATGAATAAAGTATTTAAGACACACAGTCCAGAATAAATAAGTTTTTCATATAGTGTAAAGGAGCATTCAAGCTGATTTAAAAAAAAATGTTTAGAGGAAGATATTACTACTAACATATCTAAGTCTCACTAATCGGGATCCGGGTATCTGCAGGTATTAAGTATTTACTAGCAACATTATTCTACTTAAAACAATTTGACAATCTCCTGTAGTGAGTTCTTCAAACATCTTTCACTCATCCATTAAAACTAATTTCAGCTGGCTACTCTTGTCTTTACGCCAATTTCTGTAAGTTTTCTCCTCTTGCTTGGAAAACTTGCCTCAATGGACTAGTTAAAAAATTAAGTAAAATTTTAAAAAAACAAAATACCTTTTTAAGTTGCAGGATTGTGCACTGTTGGATCTCTAATTCTTCACCCAACTTGTTTTTAATTTTGTGAAGTTCATTAACTTTGTTCCTCAGATATTTCTCCTGAGATTTCATTACACACACCTGTAACAATGTACAAGGACAGCAAGCAAAGTTAGCATTTAGCTATAAGCCTTTTACAATCTCTGTACATTGTCTAAATAACCAACCTTAAGAGACGAATTTTTTGCAAGCATCTTAGCTACATTTCAGGGGCTGGAAGTGCACTATACCATACATCCTTCCTACGGAAGGATTATCACCATAGAATAGAGTATTACATTTGGCAGGGAAAAAAACCAAACAGGAAACAACCTAATCAAACTACAAATGCAGTTGGTTTTTTTTTTTTTTTTTAAAAAAAAGAAAAAAAGGGATGTTTTCTGACATGTGATACAATCCACTCTTTGCTATTTCTCAAACAGAGGATTATACACTGAATGTTGAGTAGGAAAAGGTCCTCAAATATTAGGCTGCTGGGAAAAACATTAATACCTTAAGGCTTAACTTTCAAGCCCATACTCTTGAAATAGTCTTCTGGATTTCAAATTCCTGTGATGTCCCATGAGGTTCTAAGAAGTCCTATTGCTTGATAACTAAACATTAACAATATTTTGTTCATTTTTTTTTTCATTTCTTCTCCCCAACTTTAATAGAAAACATAGCTCAGATTTTAAAAAGTCTCTAGAAGTTAGTGCTTTCTTTTTCAGATGGATCCAGCTTTTCCTCACAGAGATCAGCATTTTGCACAAGTCTGAAGTCTGAGGCTTTGAGGCTACTAAAGATTCTAAAGTCTTTCTCCATAACCAGATTAGCCACAGTTTTCACAAACCTTTTCTCAGTATATTAATAAAATTTACTTTCCCCCTTCAATATCTGTGCTAATCTGTGTTTTGACATCTGGTCTTTAGTTTACAGCTTCAACGGCAAATGTAACTTAAGTTTCACTGTTACTTTAAATGTATCACTCAAAATAGCTTTGTTATGAATCACTTTTAACATTCATAGCTTAAGATTTGTGAAAACAGATTTTGATAACAGAACCCCAAGCATAAACTTGCAGAAGAAATGTTTGGCATATGGTTACCAACCTCTTTTTCCACTTGCTGAAATTGTTTCTTGGCATCAGAAAGTTTCTCTTTCAAAACTGAATGTTCTTCCTCTTTCCTCTGCAAATCTTTTTTCAAACTCTTTACAATGGCAGAGGTCTCAGAAAGATGTTTACGTAGCCTTATGTTAGAAATTAAGAGACATGAATAAAACGAGTGTTACTCATCTCAAAGAAACAGCTTTTAAACATGAACTTGGGCTTTTTGGCTGCTGGTTTAATTCATTAATAGAATCTCAGATCTATCAGATCAATGACAAGCTTTATAATCTTACTTTTGGATTTCAGCCTCTTATCCTGAAGCAACAAACTGCTCAGATTCACTTCTGAACACTGGCATTTTTTTTTAATTATTTTTTTTTTAAGCAAAACTATTTTTATCATTAGGCGTCCTTACAAAGTAACAAAAGGGAAAAGGTTAATACCAAGTAAATTTAAACCAAATATCTACATCCCAGACCTTGTAAGGATCAACATAAACAAAAATCAAAAGAAAATAGGAAAAACAATAACACTGCAACAAATACTGCTGTTACAATTGCTACAAAGTAATTAAAAAGTTTGATGGGTTTATTTTTAAATGGTCATATTTATTTTAAAAAATTTACACTACGACATCTTGGATTTTTAACTAATAGAAGGGTTTTTTAGATTCTGTAGTTGCCAATACAAAACAAAGCCTCACAAAAGGAAAACCTTTCAAAGCTTTACAAGCACAGGGTTGGGGTTTCCCAGACCTTCATGCTAAATTGTACTTCAGAGTATATGCAGGTACCCACAGATATTGCACTATGTAATGCTAGTCAGGAGAAGGGCTACATGGCATCTTAAAGCTATTTTTACATGACTGCAGTTTCCTTATCATATAACAAATATAATCTCTCAGATACATTTAATCTCTTATTTCTTAAAGATTAAGAAGTAGAGGGGACTGGGGGAAGTTCTACCCTCCTACACTCATTATTCCTTTAAATTCTTATAAGAGACTTTGTTCACTTAGAACAGCTATTACCAAAACCAGCTATTTACTGTTTACTTCCTAGGCTTTTACTTCCTAGGCTTTTTTTTTTTTTTCTCCTCTTTCTTCTTTTCCTTTGTAGCATTCAGTCCTTTCCAAAGAAAATGTTGCCTGCTTTTATACAAGTTCCAGGTTATAACATTAAAATATGTTATTTCCTCCAGAAAGGGTACACACGATAAAACTTTCAGAAATCCCCAGATAATTTCCTTGCACTCTCCTCTTTCCCCCTACAATAGTTCCACAAGATTTAGATCTATATTTTTGAAAGAATAGAGAAACATGAGGGGAAAACATAGCCAGCAGAATGCGCAAATATAAAATTGAAGTAGTGTATTAAAACTTCTTAAAGAAGCAGTTTGGTTAATAAAGTTGATAAACATGCAAATGTATTATGTAAAAATAAACTGATGTTCCCAGAAGGTAGTTTTAACTCAAGTCTGTTCTCAAAAGGCTGCGAGTTATCTTGTTTTTTACTTACAATTCTATAGATTTTCTTTGCTCATCCTCATTTTTCTCCTTTTCCTGAAGAGAGTTTTTCATATCCTCCAGGCTGTTCATCAACTGCACCACTTCCTCCTTCAGATTTGCTTCTTGATCATTTAATTCTTTCAGTTTTCTGTCTGAATTAGCGCATTTCTCTTGCAGAGCTGCCATATTACTTTCTAGATTTAAAACAATAGATTCTTTTTCTTTAACTGCTTCTTCTAACTTTGTTATGCTGTCATCTTTAGCTCTAAAATGCTCCAAGAGGCCTTCAAGCTCTCTTATTTTTTGCTGGTAGGTGGTAACTTCCTCCTCAAATTGTGCAATTACTCTGTGATCTTCTGCAGCCCGTTTTTCAAAATCCTGGGTTTTCTTCTGGATTTGCTCTTGTAACTGATTCATAAGGTCTTTGTCCTTTATGGACTGATGATCTTGATTCGCACTCTCATTTAATTTCATTTTTAGTTGACTGTTATAATTCTCAGCATCATCAAGTCTCTTCTTTAAGTTTTCAACTTGTTGACGTAGTTCTTGAATCTGCTGGCTTTTTTGTGAAGAAGCCTTAATAGTATTTTTGCATTCTTCCCAAATACTTTCAATACTGCAGTGAAAGGAGCTCTCCTGTCTCAGATATGCTGTAGAAGCAGTTTGGGACTGCACGCATACAGGACTCATATGAGCGCTCTCTGGTTCATCTTTTTGAGAGTCTAAGGAATCCTCTACATTAACTAAATCAATATCCATAGCATAAGACTCTAAGTGACATTTATACAACTCATCTACTTTGGACTGCATTGCTTTAATTTGTGACACTTTATCAATTATATTTTGTTTGGCACCTTCTACTTCATTATTTAGCTGAATATTTTTTTCTTCTTGTTCCCTGTTTATAGTTTTCTGTTTGTTCAATTCAGAAACAATCTCCTGATAGTCAGCTCGACATTGACGAAGTTCTTCGCTTAAGTGTGAAGCCCTTTCTTCAGAAGCAGACAGCTTGAGATTCAAGTTTGTTATCTGCCCACTTAACTCTTCTTTTTCGGTTTTTTCTCTTCTGCATTGCTCTTCAAGTGCAGCTAGTTGACCCTCCAAGGTTTCAGTTCTTTCCTTCAGTGATACTATTTCTGCGTAGTTCTCAGAAATATTTGTTCTCACATATTCAGTTTTCTTTTGCTCTAGAGAATCATCTTCCCAAATCTCCTTCGTATCTCCTACAAAAAACCCCAAACATACAGCTCAGGTTGATTAAAGTCAATAGTACAAGTCACTAGTAATACCAAATGGCAATTACTGTATGGGAAATGCTGCACTCTCATATCATATGGCATTTTGTAGTCTTGAAGTAGTTAAAGCCCTCTGAATGGTTTAACATGCCATAGGCGCCTCTTAGTCTTCTAGACATAGTTTGCAGCAAGAGGTGTTCAGGAGCCTTACGGAACACTTTGCTATGGCTCTATTCCAGCCTTCTACTCTGCACTACTAGTACAAAAATCTAGCTAATTTTAATAATATGTAGTAGTACCTATGAGCTAGATAACATTCACAGTTATATCTAGTTTCCACCTTCTCTGGTTCAACAATCCCTTTAATACAGCCAGCAATCACCCATTCTACATTTAGAAGAGCAATCACAGAATCACAGAATGTTAGAG